TAAATCTTTTTTCCACCATCATTAAAAAAATCTAGCCACTGTTGTTCTTTTCTAATCTATCACAGTTATATTGAGAATATTTTAATTATTTGTGCTCTTCTATTCTATAATTATACCCTCTTTCTTACATCTAATGGTGTGTATGTAGAATTTTCTCTATCTGCTTTACTAAATTCAACTTTCTAGATTTGTCTCTTTTATTGCTATTTCAAAATATTTGTTCCTAACCCTATTTATTATTTAAAATGATAATTTCTCATATATTCTTAATTTCTCATTCCTAATCTCCTTATGTTTATTTTGTATCTTTTGAATTTATTGAATTGCATTTTAGGAAATGAAATATTTAATTTTATTTTCTTGTTTATTACAATTTCTAATTATAAATATGTAGCTTTGTTTTTACCTTTGACCCTAGGATTTTATGTGAAAATTAAAAAAAATCTGCCATGTTGGTTTCTTTGTTGTTGTTGTTGTTGTTGTTGTAGTTGTTGTTCCAGCTTTTGTTATTGCTAATTTGTTATTTTATTACATTTGGACAAAGATTATTGTCAGTATTATAGTATTTCTGTGTATTTGTTTTTTTGTAGGTTTGTTTTATTACAACATTAGTTTTTATAAATATTCGAAAGGCTGCTTTAAGAGAAGGCAATCTCTTCTAGTGTAGGGTTTAGTAAAGGGAAATCTATTAAATCAAACTTATTAATTATTCAAAGCACTATATTCTTGGGGTTTTTTTTTTAGCCTTTCTTACCATGTCTGTTTCCCTTATTTTCTACCTCTCATTCAGACATTTCATTTTTTATCTCAATTCATATTTTTATCATTTCATCTTTCTTATCTTCTTTCATGGGGTCTATATTTTAATTGAATTTTAACAGGCTAAAATTTATTTTTTGTAGCAAGTTATTTGGCATACTATGTCTTCCTCTCTGCCTATTTTCCTTTTCTGGCACACATAGGAATTGAATTTATATTTGAATGTTGTCTGTCCCTGAAGCTGCCCTACAATGAGTTGTTTAGATTCTCTTTGAATTCTCCCTCTGTTCACCCAGTTGTGTTAAAATCACCTTCTTAGATTCCATTTCAGAACCTGATTTGTAATACTAATTTAAAATTCTGTAATTTGAAAGAAATGAAGAGAGAGCAATAGGCATATCTGCTAGGTCAGTCTTTGCTGTGATTTTTTTTTTTTAAATAAACTTCTTTCCATTTTGCTACAGACACCTTGCTTGCCTACTTTGTACTGATACCTGAGGCGAGAATTATGTGACTTTAAGTACAGTTTCACAGTGAGCTTTTTAACAGCAGATCCTTCCTGTGGAAAATATCCCTCTTGTGTGATCCTTCACTTAGGGTGACTTGGCTTGAGGATCCCACTAATCTGATTTTGTTAGATTCTCCTCAAATCTATTACATATGTATGTGTGTGTGTGTGTGTGTGTGTGTGTGTATTTCAGTTGTGGGCAGAGTTTGATTTTTTCCCATGGAGAACCTACACCTTCAGCAGGGGACGTAACTATACATCTGTTGTAAATATTTATAAATATTCTTCAATAGTTAACAAACTAGAACCTCATTCAGGCGACTTCAGTGATGGACCTACTGATGGATATTCAACTTAATATTGGGGGATTAAATATTTTTCTAGGATTCTTGGAATTTCAGAGTGCTAGAACTGTAAGAATGTGAGGCAAACTCATGGAGCCCAGTTCCTCTGCATGTGGAGAAAACTTTCTGCCATATGACAGGAAGTGGGCACTGACTGCTCATGGTCAGCAAGCTACTCCAATACTTGCTCATCCCCTCCCTGCATGGGTACACTTCAACCAGGTGACTTCCGTGATTACTGAGGGTCCATTGGATATTCCCCCCACAAATATGCCATGTGTATTTATGCACGTATAATTACGAAATTTAACAGAATATTATGAAAATTAGAGAAATTAATGTGTTCACACAAGAGAGTGTACTTAGTAATTGTTTTATTTTTTCTAAGATGGTAGCAACTCTTCTTAATTATCCAAAGTTAGTCACATTTTAAGCAATACCCTCTCTCTCTGGGCTGGACTTATCTTTGCCTATCATTGCATGCATCATACTAACTATATGGCAAATTCCAGTCCTGCACTTTTGTTCTTTGCTTTTTAAATTTTTCTTAATATCTAAGCTCATTTCAGTTAGGTTCTGTAACATGAACATAGAAATACATGACAAATACACACAGTTAAGTAACCTCATGACACTCAGAGGGTGATATTATGAGTGAACATTAATATGCAGTTATATCATTCTAAACATAAAATAGTCAATGACTAAATGGTTACTTTTCTTCCAAGGATTTTGTATATACAGAAGAAAACCTTAACTGACCTGCACTTAATAGGCTTTCTGATGATCCAAGGACCCCATTCTCTCTGTAACTCCTGTAGCTGACTGATGCTTATGGCATGGTGGGTGCTACTGTCTAGTAAGCTGATCTCAAACACCTACCCTTCTATGTGTATACATCTGTAAAGTGACTTTTTAATGTTTTATTATATCTATTATTGATTATCAATGTTTTTTTCTCACCAACATGTCAATATCTGTATGTTGCTAATTATTAAATTTAATTGATTATGCAAATTATGGAAGTACAAATGTGAAAATATTTGTTTTTTGATGAAAACAAAATTGACTGCTTTGTCAAGGTTTGTTAAAGGCAAGTTAAAATTAGTGGGATTGAAAGCACTATAAATTATGGGAACACTTTTGCTCAAATCTAGAAGATTCTTCAAATAAAACTGGCAATTTCTTTAAACTAGATTTGGTTATGCAAGAAAGATGACTAGACCCCTAATAAGCAGATCCACACTCAAAGAAGAGAACTTGTACTACTGTCAAAATGTTGGTGAACATCTACAGATTACATGTTTAAGTCATATATCATTTTTTATAATTCTCCATTTTAATTAATTTTTTAAAAATTGAGTAATTCTTGGGGTGCCTGGGTGACTCAGTCAGTTAAGCATCTACCTTTGGCTCAGGTCATGATCCCAGGGTCCTGGGATCAAGCCCCACATTGGGCTCCCTGCTCTATGTGGGGTCTGCTTCTTTCTCTCCCTCTACCTGCAGCTCCCTCTGCTTGTGTTCTCTCATTCTCTCTCTGTCAAGTAAATAAATAAATAAAATATTTTTACAAAATTGAATAATTCTTATGCAGACTGATTTTTGCTACATTTTCTAAAAATACCATTAACCTTAGTAGAGTTCTATCCAGTTTCTTTGGTTTTTTTTTCCTCTCTCACATTTTTCCTATTTCTTTTTCCCATTGTACCTCTCTTAGCTCTTCAATTTTCAAAATCCAGAAATAGGCAAATCATTCTAGTGGATAAATATTACTAAGTGTTATGAATCCCTGTGTTTCCATTTCTGTTGAAGTTAATATGATTAAATAGAAGATAAATCTCCCTCCTTAGAGAGGCAATGCAGTGTAGTCTTCTAGGGGAGACAAGGTAGGCCGGCTCACAATGTGCTTGGAAAGAGGCTATCCGGATTCAAATTCTGACCCTGGTATGTGCTTCACTGAGTGACTTTGTACTCACTCAACTTATTGCTGCTGTGCCTCCATTTTCCTTTGGGTAAAAAGAAGAAAGCTTGTTACCTACTTCATATGGCAGTTGTGAATACTACATGAGTTAATACAGGTAAAGCCTTTTATAATACAGCCTCATTATCATTAGCCATCTGCAAATCTATGAATGTCTCAGGATGGTTCTTGAGTTCCCAGATTTTAAAAACTAAACCTAAAACTTAGAAATGCAAATATTTATTTTTTCCTATTTGTAATGAATACCCATCCTTTTGACAATATTTCATTGATAATTTCTTTAAAAGTCACAAATGTGTGTGTGTGTGTGTATGTTAAGTACAGGACCAAATTAATTAGAAATGAGTACTTTTATATGAGAAACGCTGCCTGGTAGGCTGAAACAACATCTTCAGGGGGAAAAAAAAAGAAGCTCAAGGGCTGGATTATCAAATGTAGCAGCTCAGTGGTTCAATTCATACCTGACAGGCTTCAAAGACTCTATGCAAATTGATCTCCCAGCTGCAAGGGTAATTAACATGGGTTTGTTGCAAGGATCTGTTCTTCTATCCATTCTTCTTCATGATTATTTTAGTAGCTTAACAATTGTCTGTAACTACTTAATCCACTCTTAGAGCACATATAAAATTACCTTACTCTGGTGTGTAAAATAAGACTTCTACCCTCTTCAGAATGCATGCTGCCTACTTGATATGCTAAGTTTGGCACACCAGGTGGAGATTCAGGAAAACTGGATGCAGGCAATAAGGTCTTTTTACATTCAGATACTTATTTGAACGAATCCCTTTTGATCTTCTTGGTGTTGCATACTTATTAGTAGATTTGCTATTAATGTTTCTTCTTGGTTCATTAGCAACGAAGTGTGTGTGTGTGTATGTGTATGTGTGGCAGTGGTGATTAGGAGAGGAGCATTTAGGTCATCGATGAGACCCTCAAACATAACTAAGCTTCTCTCTAGCCAGAGAAAGCCGCAGAAGCTCTTAGTAATGCTGTATATGATTGGATCACTAAGAATCATGTTCAGTGTTTTTCATAGACTCATCATCAAAGTTCCTTATGGGCTTACAGGATCTTATTCAAAGGATATGTTCACACATGTTATCCATTCAGCCCTTGAATAAGGACATCTCTGTGAAAAGGGTACTTCAACAACAAAAATAGCTCTGCTGATTATACGTTTTACAGACAACTTAGTCGTCTATGTTAGGCTTGTTAATTAAAATTTAATAAAGAAGAAATAAATTGTACAGAGTTTACCTCAATATAGCATCTATTTAGAAATGGGACAGTTTAAAAGTCAGTGGCTTACTTCAACAATCTTGCATTCACCTTCATGTATCACTGATATATAGAGTATTCCATTGCATGAATCTCCCATGGTTTATTTTTTCTTTTTACTCTTTTTTTTTTTTCTCTCTCTATAATATATATTTTCTTAAAAAAAACCGAGTCTAGTTCTGTGGTGGAGGCGGTGGGGGAGCTGGAGGCATCCCGAAGGGCGGCATGCCCGCCACCCCCATGCCCATCATGGTGACAAAGTTAGAAGGGTCCATGGGAGGCGGAGGAGGAGGGGGCGGGGCATACATCATGCCGGCGGAACCAGGCGGCGGAGGCGGCGGAGGGGGAGGGGCCCCGGGCGGCAGAGGCGGCTGGACCCCGGGGGGCAGGGGCACCATAGTGGGGTTGCCTTGCATCTGAGGGGCTCCTGGAGAAGCTGCGGCAGCCGCCTGCTGCTGTTGCCATGGCGGGATGGACCCTGTGCCAGCGCTCGTGGTGGTAGTCGTCGTATCTGGGGTGGTAAAGAAGCCCAAGGTCACACGCGCGGGGGCACACCGCGGCTCTCTGCGGCTGCTGCCTTGGGATGGGGGGGCGAGGGGCGCCTGCTCCTTGCTTGGCATGCGGTACGGTGGTGGGGGGCGGGGCTGTCCTGGTGATGGGGAGTGGAGGGGTGGGCAGGACTACCCTGGGGTCAGCCTCGAGGTCTCTGGGCTTAGCAGAGCAAGCCCTTTGTCACCAGTGCCCCTGGAAGGGCTGAGGGGAAGGTACCAGACACAAGAACCGGCTCTGACATCCCTCCGCCCATCCGCCGCCACCACCGAACGGCACATTCAACCTCAAGGCCACAGCTACTCTCCCCACAGCCCGGTCCCATCCCTGCCGTCTCTCAGGCCCCAATCACGTCCCTGTGCGCAGCATGCAAGCACCCTCCCCACCCCAGCCTTACACACAGGCTCGGGCCAGCCAGCAGCCGGCAGCTCTCGCGGCCCAGCCCGCGAGAGCCTGGATTTCTGGCACCCTACCTACGATGGCAGGTTCCCTCCAGGTCCCCCAAAACCGCTCCCCAGACACAACCACGCCAAACATCAGCTCTCTTCCCCAAGACCCCCAGGGGCCACGAGGCCCTTTCTGCTTGCACCCCCAGCAGAGAACGGCGTCTCCTCCCTGGCTGTCTGCCTGCCTCTGTGAGCTGTGAGCGTCTCCTGCTCCTCTCTCAGCCCCACCTCCCCATCCCACCCACCCCCACAAGCCCAAAATAGTCCACTCACTTTGCTGCCATGGCAAGGGGGTACTGGAAGCCATACTGCTGCTGGGCGGAGGGGGTGGCGGAGGCTGCTGCTGCTGCTGCTGCCATGGGGGAAGAGGGCCAGAGGGAGGGGGCGGGGGCTGCCCACTGGGCGGCGGCAGCGGCGGCGGCATCATGCCCATAGGCGGCGGCGGCATCATACCTTTTCCTTGACGCAGGCGATAGACCCCAGAGCCCACAGGCGTACTTCCCAGGTACTGATCCATTGGAGGAGGGCCATGATGCCCAGGTGGGTGGGGGCCCTGGTTCATCGGTGGTGGTGGCGGCTGCATCCAAGGGGGTGGGGGTCCGTTAGGGTTGTGCTGCATGGGATGTCCACCATGCCCACCTGTCAGGCTGGGTAATGGGTGTGGGAAGTTGTGGGGGCCACCTCCAGGCCCACCAGGACCACCTCCGTGCATGCCATGGTAGGGCCGACTCTCTGAAGGGCCAGAATTCATCCAGGGTGGGTGGCTCTGGGTGGTAGACATGAGAGACGGTGGAGGTGGGTTGTTGGCGGGAGCAGCAGGTCGAGGTGCACTGGCCAGGGGCGTGGTGGCGGGCCCAGAGGTAGAGCCCACAGATGCCGGCACCGGTGCTTCGCCCAGTTCAGCCATAAGAGACAAATATTCTTTATCCATCCGTGCTTTATCCTGAGCTGACTGGGGGTCACCAGGCCTTTGGAATTTGCAATCGGAAGCGATGTGTCCAGCCCCACCACACTTGGTACACACTGTGGTATTGGTAATGCTGCGTGTCTCTGAGCTCTGCCAGGGTCTTTAAGATCCTGTTGTCATCTTCCCGAAGGGTCCCATTCAAGCGAGCCAACTCCCGAAGCTGCATCTTCCGTAGATCATTCTGGTCCTCAGGGGTCTCAATACCCTGCTTCAGGATGTTTCTTATCTGTTCCACAGCTTTCTTCACATTCTCCATGGTGTTGGCAGTAACTAGGGCATGAAGTGGCTCATCTTCTCCAGGGAGCATCTGGCCATCTTTGCGGCCAACTTTCCCTTCTTTAACAGACCCTTTCCCCCGGATCATAATCTTGGCATTACATTCCTTCTCTATGTTCTTCAAGGTGTTCCCTCTGGGCCCAATCAGCAGACCCACAAAGTTGATTTCTGGATACTCGTCTTGTGGAATCATTACTTTATCGCTCACGCGTGTTGCTGGAGGTTTGTAATCTGCAGGTGGCTTGAAATCAGGGTTGAGGGCAACCATCTCCGTGATGAGGTTATGCCGCTCCTCTTCAAGCTTTTTGCATGTGCGGAACTCGTGGGTGTTAAGCCGCTTCCCCTCGCTATTGTAGATGGGCTCAGGGGAAGGGGACCTGTCCTCAGGGTTAGGGGGGATGCCCAGGTCTCCTGTGCGCAGTTTACGAGTCAGGTCTTCTATCTGCAGTTGCACTATATACGCTCTCTCTTGCTCCCGCGTCAGTCCGGGGGGGATGACCGTAGGCATTCCCGGAATCACCGTCTTCTGTTCCATTGTATCCTGGTTCCAGCGGCTCCTCTTCCGCTTCTTACTTGGGAAGTCCAGCGGCGTGGCGTTCGCTCCGGTCGCCATGGCGCCCCCGGGGACCGGCACCGGCGGCTCCTTTCAGGCGGCGGTGGCGGCTTCCTTTTCGCGAACCTTCCGGGGGGAGGGGACCCGACTGCCTTTTCTTTTTACTCTTAATGGAGATTTAAGTTATTTCCATCATTTTTTCCTTATTTCAAATAATGCTTTTCTGTCTCCTTGTACATATTTGTGAGATTTTTCTCCAGGTTTAAACTGCTAGGTTAATGGATATGTGTTTTCAAGTTTGCCAGATAATGTCAATTACTCCCCAAATGGTTAAACATATACACTGCCACCAACGGTGAGAATTCTCACCATCTCTTGGTACTGACTGATGTTTAAAATGTTGTCAATATGATTACCTATGAATAATATCTTGTCATTTTAATTCTTATTTTCCTGAATACTGAGGTGGTTGGGCATCTGCTCAACATTTATTGGTTTTGTAAGATTTCTCTTCTGTAAATTGTTCTATGTATCATTTGCCCTATTTTGAAAGAGTTGCTTCCATATTTGTATTAATTTCTGTATTGGATACCTAACCATTTTGGTCTGAAAATTGTATTTTTATGTTTTAAGTGTCTTGATGTGTAACAATTTTCATTTTTATTGTTGACAAATGTGTTCATTTTTTTCCTTTATGATTTTTACTTCAGGGGAGTTGATTAAAAAATTCTTTCTATACCACATTGTGATATATTTTCTTCATTATCTTCTAAAAGTTTCAAGTTTTACTTTCTAGAATTTATTTTGTTTACAATTGATTTTTGTGCATGGTATAAGGTATACTCTTTTATTTTTTCTGCTATCATACCCTCTGTCCCAGTACCATTTATTGAATGATCCATCCTAATCTGCTGCAGTTTATCTTGTTATAAACCAAGTTTACTTTCATGAACCATTCTGTTTCAGTATACACTACTTTGTAATATAGTTCTCTTTGTTTATTCTTGTATCAATTTCATAGTCTTAACTACTACAACTTTAAAATATGTTTTGAAATCACCTCATTGACTTTCAAAAAAGCTTATAATTATTCTTGGCCCTTTTCACATTTTGGAATTGATTTGTCAATCTCTAGTCAAAATTATATTTGGAGTTTAAATTGGAATGCATTGAATGTATAGATTAGGGGAAAACTGACATTATACTTTTTCAATTGGGTTTTCTTATCTATGAGTGTAGTTTACATTCCTACTTACAGATTTTTATGCCTTCCAGTAGAGTTTTATACTTTCTTATTATATTTCAATTAGATTTCTTCTATGTGCTCTATGTTTTGTGTGCTATTGTAAATGATATTCTGTAAATATTACACTTTCTAACGTATTGATTTGGAGTGGAAATTATCAATTTATCTTCTATTCACTATGTACTTCAACTCTAATTTATTCTTGTTATTTTTATGTAGACATCCTCAAGTAAGGAAATTTTGTTATTTCTTTCTTAATTTTTTATTTAGTCATTTATGCCTTTATTTAATGATAACATCAGCAAGATTCTCATAGACAATTCTGGATAGTAGTGTTTGTTTTTATCCTGATTTTCAAAATAGTGTTTGTGACAATTCTTTTTTATGTATGTTTTTAGCAATTGATTTTTGATAGATAGCCCTTACTGCATTTGGTTTTGTTTCAATTCCTAGTTTCCTAAGATGCTGAATCTCAAAACAAATAACTTTAATATGTCTGGTGAGATAATAATTTTTCTCCTTTAATCTACTAGTGTGGTGAATTATGTTGACATCGTTATATATAAAGCATCTTGTATTCATTGGATAAACCCATCTTAGCCATGATACATTTAAAAAATAAATTGATACCACTTTTGCTAAAATTGGCTTAAAGGTTTTGATTCTGTGTTCATGAGTAAGGCAAAATATAATTTTCTTCTCTATTACTCTCCATGATATTTTTTTATATCATGGTTATTATAGCTCCATAAACTAATGTCAGAAGTATTTCCTATTTTTTTTTTCCACTGAAAGAGTTTGTATCAGGATAGAATTACATGTTCAGAAATGTCAGTAAAACACCTCCAGTATTTCTCCCTACTCTATTACTCACAACCTACTGTTTAACTCCTATGTCTTACTGAGATAGAATAGGTAGTGTGGTTCTAGAAATTACTAACATTTTCCTGGAAGAATATTCTCATTGTTTTATTAATCCTTAGTTCCTTCCATTGCATAAATCCATATTACTACATATATTATTACCCCTGATAGTCTAGTGTTACTTCCACTCTGTCCTCTCCTTATACCTTTTTTTGGGGGGGGTGTCTAGATGAGTTTATCCTCATTCAAATATTTCATAGAAATCAGAATGTAGCAACTGGGTACAGAAAACTGCAGGTTTGTACATGTTGAACTATTTCCACCTGGAATAGGATCTCCTCCACATCAGGCACAGTCCTTGCACTCTACCAGTGCCTCTTTGCAGATGCAGCCCTGGGCACACTTGGTACAGCCTGCTCGGTAACAAGAGCAGTGACTTTTCCTGCAGGAGGTGCATTTGCACTCTGCATTTGCAGGAGCTGACACAGGTGCACGAACCACCGGTGGAGTAGGAGCAGTTGGGGTCTATTTTGAGTCAAGGGGAGGACAGAGGTCCAAAACAGGTGACACAGGGAGACACTGGTGTGGCCTGGAGGCGTGGTCTCATCTTATTGTATCTTAAGATCTCAGTGGTTTATTTGTGTGCTTGTTTGTTTATGGACCTGGGAGCATTAAAGACATACCTCAAGCATTTCCCTTCCATCACTTATCCGCATTATAAATGGTACTGGAATGACTATGGGATTTGGAGAATCAACCCAAGGGGGATTTAATTTGGTACATTAAGATTGAGATTAATGGGATATATAATTTGGTTTACAGTCAGTTTCATTTCTTTATAGAAGTAGCTTCCAGGTGTACTGCTATTGGCAATGGTGTCAACATACTTACCATTGAGATCCAGAGGTCCAGGTTCATAGCTCATAGTGTAATATGGATGTGTCCTTTAGCAACTGGTCTAGGGCCATGGCAGCAGGAGATAGAAACAATGTTTATAATCACAGAGCAAGAAACTGATCTGTTGGAAATTCTTACCATCATCAGATGAGTAAAATTATAAGTGTAGTTGTTTCTCCAGAACACTGAAGAAAAATGAAGTGCTCTTCTGCTTGTAGTATAGACATATATGTCTCTATCTATATATATGTCTATACTATGTGAAAACATGGAGGAAAAAAGTATTACAGATATGTATTAGACAGTTAATTGTAAAACCACTATGGTATTTTATGTATGATATATTTTATACCTTGGACTCATTTCACATTCTAAATTTTTGCTTTAATACCTAAATTTATATTTTTTTAAATTATTTAAAGATTGTCTCTTTAAAAAAAAACTCAAATATACAGAAAGTTATAAGTAGAGTAAAAAGAATTTATTTTTCTTGGATCATTTTTGCTGATATTAAAGCTACAGTATTCCTAAATACTTTGATGTATATTTATTACATAAGAAGACATTCTTCTCTATAGTCACTATGTAATGATCAAATTCAGGAAAGTAACATTAGTGCATTAGTATGATTAAATATTCAAACTTCATTCAGTTTTCCTTATTGTCCCCAAGAATGAGCTTTACAACAAAAGAATTCAGTTCAGGATCACACGTTTCATTTATTTGTCATGTGTCCTTCAATCTCCTTCAATCTGGATCAGTTGTTCATCTTTAAAAAAATGGTTATTTATTATTATTTTTTTTTCCTTTCAGGATCTTGACATTATTGAAGTTTGTAGGCCATTCACTTTGTAGAATATCCCTCAATTTGGTTTGTCTGATGTTTTTTGTAATTAGATTATGGCTAGGAGTTCTTGGGCATCAATGTTAACAGTTATAATACTTTTCTCATTGAATCCTGTCCTGTAGACTCAATGTGCTTTGTCTCATTATTGATATTAATATTAATCACTTATGTTGGCACTTGCCAGACTCCTTCACTAGAATGTTAATCTTTTTCCTCTGTAATTAATAAGTACTTTTCAAGGAGGTAATTTAAGACTCATTCTTTTTTTTTTTTTTTTGCAGACTCCCTGCTGAGCAGGGAGCCCGATGTGGGACTCGATCCCGGGACTCCAGGATCATGACCTGAGCCGAAGGCAGTCGCTTAACCAACTGAGCCACCCAGGCGCCCAAGACTCATTCTTAATCAATATTTCAACTTATCAATTATTTCATTTGTACCTACATTGACTCGTGATTTTCTATTTTATACAACTGGTTATATTCATTATTATTAGTTATTTTGATGCATGGATTGTCCAATTTTAGACCAGCAAGAGCTTCTTTTCACTAATTTCTTTGTACTTTTTTCAAGTCTTCATTATTCTTTTAGCATTTGTTTCCTTTCTTTTATAATAAGATATTCCAAACAAATTTCCTGTTCTCCCCTGCTTCAGCCCCGGACCAGCGATTTCTTCAAAGAGCCTTGATTCTTATAGGGGAGGAAAGTATTTAGAGACCAAGACCTTTGTACAAGGTATGCTCATTATCTTGGTATCTACCCACACTCTTTGTGCATGGCTACTTACCTTGCTCAGTTCTACCTAATACTTTTAGATTAAATTATTCAGTAAAGGCAGGTAAGAGGATAAGAAGCAGAACAGGAGGTGGTATCAGTTTGAATTTTTTTCCTAAAAAATTTCTCCTAAATTGTATAATCTTCAGGACCCTTCCCTCCAAATCTGTCTGTACTAACATACCATATAAATTATTACATTTACTGTTTCTTGTTTGTTTTTCCTCACTAGCATATAACTTCCAAGAGGACAAGGGTTATCCTTTTTTGTTCACTGGTTTATTCCAAATTATTACAGAATATCTTGACACATAACAAATATTCAACAATTATTTGCTGAATAAATGAATAAGTGGACTCATTTGATTTTATTTCCTCAGGATCTATCCTCTAAATCAGTCTCTCTCTTGCTCTTTCACTCATCATGAATTCTGTATCTGTATTTAAGGTATGTGTTTTGAGATATTTCTTATACTTGGTATTCCAGGTAGTTTTTTCATTAGAATTAAAGGTATATTTAAATGTGT